GTTTGTTTTAAATTGGTAATACAACAAATTATTAGCATTTTTATATAAGTAATTAGTTTAAAAAGTGTCTTATTACACAAAATTCTAGATTAATATTTCACTCTAGATATATTACTTCCATCTTAAATTTATAACTAATTTTTAGATTTCTTAAACTTAAAAAGTTGTAATGTCAAAACAATCTTAAAATTGGAACCATTATGAGAGAAATGAAAAAAATAGGGATATTCCTCTCTGTAAGCGTTGTAGTAAACAACTAGGATGTATAAAAAAGGATCATCTACAACACCACTTCTTAATCATTTAAAAATCCATAAGATTCTCTTAAATTCCTCTAGCCTATCTACTGCTACTAAAAATTTATTAAAGATAAATTGTGAACAAAGTAAATCATCGACATCAAAAAAGTTTAAAAGTACATATGCTGACAATAGTATAAAAAAGTTAAAACAAATAAAAAGTTTTTTTTAAAAAGTTTAATAAAAAGTTTGTTAAAACTAAAACATTGGAGGAAATTTTATCGCGATGTGTAGCAGAGGATGGTTTCTCAATGAACACAATAGTGAAATATATTTCATTATAGAATTGGGTACATTAAAAGTAAAGGATTTGACATGTCTAAAAGTCCTACTACTGTAACAAAGTGCATTTTAAAGTTTTATTAAATAAAAAAAATAGAAACAGTTAGTATTATCAAGGATCTAAAGGGGAAAAATGTTAAATTCTCACTAACAGTAGACGACTGGACTGATAACTCTATGAATAGATATCTTAATATTACACTTCATGGCCTTGTTGATAACTTAATGAAAAAATATGAAGTCTATGTGTTGGGGTTAGTTCACATAAAAAGTACATGTAATGCTAAACTAACAAAACTATATGTTGAAAATAAGTTAAAAGAATTTGAAATTGACATTAAGTCAGATATAATATCATCAACACATAATGGAGCAGCCGTTATGGTCAAGTATGGAAGGCTACTAGGCATAATATTTCAACTTTGTTATAACCACGGTTTGCATTTAGCAATAACTGATGTATTGTATAAAAAACAACAATCAAAGTTTTGTGAAGAAAATAAAGAAGTAACAGATTATGAGGATGTTAGTGAAGACATTGAAGGTGAATCTGTCAGAAAGAAAATCTGAGAAAAACATTGTAATCATAGTTCTCACTGAAGATTTTCAAGAAGTTATACAAAATGTCAGAAGAATCATAAAATTGATAAAATTCTCTTCAGTAAAAAACGACATGTTACAAGAATATGTTAATGAACAAGCAGGCATGACATTGCAGTTGATGTTAGATGTAAAAACTCGGTGGAATTCATTGATAGCCACGCTCAAACGATTTCTTCAAATAAAGGATTCTATAAATAAAACTTTAAATGAATTAGGGCAACAAAAGATTTCAAAGTAGAACGTAGCAACTTTAGAAGAACTGTTAAATGTCTTATTGCCGATAGAAACTGCAATAAAGGAGTTGAGTAAAAATTTTGCAACTCTTTTGACCACTGAAGGTGTTTATAAATTTATATTTGAAAACTTAGATCAGTTACAAACGAATATAAGTAAAAATTTATTAAAACAGATAAAAAAGCGAATGGATGAACACCGTGATAAAATCCTCATGACATTAATAATCTTCTTAGAATCAGGCAATATTCCACATTCTACTAAATTTTTTGAATATACTTCAAAAGTTGCCGCTATTGCTTTAGCAGTAGAAATATTTAAAAGGGTTTATACATCTAGTGGTGACAGCAGCAGTACTGAGAACAACGAGGTCGAGGAAATTGCAAAAGAAATAGCAAGTGAAAGTATTCCTTGAAGTCAAAGTGCTAATAATATTATGCAGCAAAAGCTGAAAGCAGCTATATCCTTAATTACCTATGTAGAAAAGCAGAGCAGCACAAATACTTCATTGTTGAAAAATGATTTTATGTTTTTAAAAACCACTAAAACAAGAACAAATAACTTGAACATATTGTTTAATGCACTTCTAACAATTAGACTAACATCTACTGCAACAGAGCGCGTTTTTTCAATTGCTGGTTTAATGCGGACAAAAATTAGAACTCGCTTAAATTTTGAAATTCTTAATGCAATTATTTTTTTGAAATATGCATTTTTAAAAATGAAATAAATGTAATTAGCATAATTGTTTTATTTTTTTTTATATTTGATTTTTTAATGTATATCACTAAAATAATTAAGTTAAAATTAATTATTACTATGAATGTGTCAAGTTCAATCTATCATCTTTTTTTTTTTGTTATCCGGATATATTCGAATAATTTGAATTTTCAGTATTCGATATCCGGATAGTCACTAATGTCGGATAATTGGAAACCCTAAATGTGCTTAATCGAGTCGATTTTGTAAAAACTTTTCAATGTTGAATAAATAAGTCAAGAAATTGATGTCCTTTCTGTTTTCGCAGAAAGGAAAAAGAAAGAACACCAATTCTTTCATTTTTACCTTGCTTAATCAAGCATAGCTGAGCATGCGACATTCCGGATTTTGTTTGCTGTTTGTGGCGTTTTACAATTTATCTGTTTACTTCACAATTTGGCTCCAAATTGTTTTTCTAAAGTCCACAGTACGTATTGAGTAATAAAATTAATCGAGTCTCTCAAAAAGCATTGTCTTACAAAACACAGTTCCCAGTGGGAAAAAAGACATCTTTAGACGCATAAAAGGCGTCTTTTTTATGACTTTTTATGTCTTTTTATAATCAGCCTAAATAAAGACGTGGAAAGACGTCTTTTAAAAAGACGTCTTCAAAAAAGAAGTCGAAAAAACGTCAATTGGTTGTTAGTAAGGAAATCATTATTTGCTTAAGAAAATTAAAAATAATTATTGACAATAGAACCTAACAGAGTTAGATTTAAATTACGATGACTTTGTTACGTTCTGATTGGCCCGTTTTGTGTTTACAAAATACTTTTATATAACTTTTTTTATGTGAAACGTTTTTGCATAGGAAAAAACTTTTTTTTTTCGGTAGGCGGGTTTATTCAATAATTTATATAATAAAGTAATATATTATGTAAAATATACATAATATAAATGCATATATATATATATATATATATTATAGTATATATACATACATATATATATATATATATATATATATATATATATATATATATATATATATATATATATATATATATATACACCTAATTTAGTACTTACGGGGACAGATTTTACAGAAAAACTAACACTTACAGGGACATTTGCGTTATTGGAGATATTTAGTGTACCCGTTAATTTTTGTCCCCGTAAGCAAAAAATGTATTCATAAGAAACTTTTATAGAGAATGAAAAGTACATACATCGACTGACAAATAGCCTGACTCGCAAGGGAGTGCTGCTACATCGACTGAGGCTTTGGTTAGGCCAGGCATCAAGGTCAGGCTTAAGGTTAGGGTTACGGCAAGGTTTAAATTTAGTTATTTTACTGTAATTAATCGTTTTTGTAAATAGATGAAGTTAAAAAAAGAAATATAATATAAAATAAATAAATAAAAATAACAAAAATTAATATAAAAAATATATTTTTATAAATATATATATATATATATATATATATATATATATATATTATATATATATATATATATATATATATATATATATATATATATATATATATATATATATATATATATATATATATATATATATATATATATATATATATATATATATATATATATATATAGCAAGTTGCCGAACCTATTTATACTATTTATAAATGACAAATTAATTAAAAAGCAATCCAATATAAGATTCTTGTGAATTGTTGTTGATGAAAAATTATCCTGGCCTCCTCATATAATATATATCCAGTCAAAAATTACCAAAATCATAGGTTTAATGTATCGAGTTCGCTCGTACATCAATACAAATAGTCTTAAATTATTCTACTTTGGGCTAATTCACAGCCTCATCAGCTATGCAAACATTTCATGGGCAAGTACTCAAACAGCAAAGCTTAAGAAACTTTATAGTTTTCAGAAACATGCCTGTAGATTCATTTACTTTAAAAATAGGCAGGAACATGCTAATCTCTTGATGAAAAATATGAAAATGATGAATGTATTTGAAATAAAAATCTACCAGCATTTAATTTTCATGTATCGTTACAATCACAATATCTCTATAAGCTTTAATAATAAGTTTGAGTTAAATAAAAATGATAACTACAATCTTAGAGCGAATATGTTGAACACATATAAACTGCCTAGGATAATAAATAAATATTCAGAATACAGCATTTTATATCAAGTTCCAAAAGTATGGAATATTTTTCAAAAAGGGTTCAAAGCAGTGGCGGATTTAGTATAAGGTGTGTGGGGGGGGGGGGGGGGGGGAGGGGCGAGCTGCCCCCCCACGCCCCCTAAAACGGTTAAACAGCGCCCCCTAAAACATTCACAAAAAAATTATTATAAGTTCAAATTATCAATGAAAATTAAAATGAAAAAGAATAAAAATCAAAACAAAACTAAAAAGTAAAAGTAAAGAGAGAGAGAAAATAGTTTAAAACAGAGGGAAAAAAAAAGTCTAAGATCAAAACATTAAAAACGATTAAAACGCTTGAATAAATAAGAACAAATGAATCATCAAACCATTGCCGACGTAAAATTAATCAATCAACGTACTAAAATTTCTTTATAAAAGGAATTTTATTTGAATTTAATTGTTTTGATCTTAAGATTTTGTTTTTTATAACTAATTTTTTTTTTATGATTTCTGATTGTCTTTGTATTGGAAATCAGTATCTGTTGTCAGCTTTTCTGTTCTCGTAATTGTATTGTTGCCGTTTAAACAAATTCTAAAAAATTTTATTATTATTTGATTTTTAATTATTATTAACTATTTATTATTCTTATTTAATTAGATGTTAAAAATTAGTGACTTGGGTGTTTGCTTAAGATAATCAACATTGCTATTTGTAAGAGTTATTAAAATATTTTTTACAGAGTATATATGAGAGATCGATTATAATCTATCGGAAGAACAGTTTAGCAATAGTCGTAAATCTTAGCAATAGTATTTTTACGTTAACTACTATGGATGATAACAACCACGAGTTTAGCAATGAAAGCAAAAAACGAAAGTTAAGTGGAGCAGCTACCCGTAAGTTAGCTAAGAAGGTTCGTTTGAACATGGATGCAAGTAAGTGTCACAAACTAACATCATATTTAACTAAATTGTCGGATACTGAGTCAGTTACAACTTCTGTAAATACGCTTGTGTCTGAAGATCAACACCTTTCTAAAAGTGTCCATACAGAAAGTTGTGAAACTGATACGCCTGCTGAAAGTTTTCAACACTGCTTCGAGCAGACAAACAATAATGAAGCATTTAATGAAAAAGAACTTACCCCATATATCCCGGTACTAGTTACAACTGTTCAAGAACCACTTCTTCCTCAATCGGAGTTCCCTTCAGATCCCGGACTATATAACAATACGAGTTTGAGCGCAAAGCTGATAAGGAAGTTATGTGAAATAGGACCATGTCAGCCAGGTCTACAGAAATCTTTCCAATTTCCAACTGATGAAGCCGGCCGTAAGTTCCAAACATCTTGGTATACAAAAACTATTGGAAAGGGAAGTATAAAAAAGGAAAGAAATTGGCTTGTATTTTCACCTAGCAATCAAAAAATGTACTGCCACGCTTGCTGGTTATTTGCTGATTTTAAAGCTGAAAATTATAGCAAAGAATGGTCTGATACATCTGCAGGAGTTTATAAGTGGAAAAAAGGCATGGAAAAAATAGTTGAACACGAAACTTCTCACCAGCATCAAAACGCAATACGCCAATATTTGCTCACTAAATATCGTATTTCAAATGATAAAACTGTTATATTTGGTTTAATTAGTCAAGAGTGTCGCCAAGTAGAAAAGAATAGAGAAGTTTTGAAATGAATGATAGACGTAACGTTGTTCTTAGCAAAACAAGGTTTATCATTTAGAGGACACAGAGAACATCAACATTTCAAAATTGGTAATAAAGGTACAGCTAATAACGCTGGCAATTTTTTTGAACTGTTAACTCTATTATCCAAATATGATCTTACTTTGGAAAATCATCTTAGGTATGAAAAGAGAAATCAGCTGTTTTTAAGTCATGATGTACAAAATGATTTAATTCAATCGCTTGCTTCTGAAATTTCATCCACAATCAACAATGAGCTTAAATTAGCCCAATTTTTTTCGTTAATTAATGATTCAACTAATGATATTTCCGAAATTGATCAGATGTCAGTTTCGTTACGAATGGTTTTAAAATCAGGTAATGTTGTAGAAAGATTCATAGGCTTCTATACTTTAGAAAACAGCAACGCTGAAGCATTTGCTGAGTTAATTTTATCTGAGCTTGAAAAACGAAACATTGATATTAAACTCTGCAGAGGACAAGCATATGATGGTGCTTCTGTAATGTCTGGAATTAAAAGTGGTCTTCAAACTCGGATAAAAGCGCTTTCACCAAATGCCATCTATGTTCATTGCTGTGCTCATGTTTTAAATTTGGTGACCATTAAAGCAATGTCTGTAAACAGCGAAGTCCAGTTATTTTTTGGCACAACTGAAAAATTGTATACGTACCTTACGTCTAGTTTACCACGACTTCATATTCTCCAAGAACACCAGAAACGTCTATATGAATCAACAGTAGACACTCTGAAACAACTTTCTGATACAAGATGGGCAAGTAGAAAGCATGCAGTTGATGCTGTTGTTGAATCTTTTTCTGCTATTTTAGCCACTCTAGAAGATATAAATCTAGGAGAATCCAAACGACATACAGGAAATGTTAGAGCAGATGCTATTGGACTATCAGTTTTAATAAAAAAACATTCATTTGTTTTTTTAATGATATTTCTGAAAAAGTTGTTAAATAATCTTTTTGTGTTATCTAACTATTTGCAACGAAAAAATATAGACGTTTTATTTGCAAAACAGTTGATTGATGTTACAAAAAAAAAATTTGTCGATATGAGAAACAATGCAGCTTTTGAAGTTCTACATTTAGCAGTCAAGTCATTTATTAGCGGAAAATGTGCCGAACTAGATGTAGAGACTGAATTTAAAGAAAAGCGAGTAGCCAAAAAAAAAATGCATGACAAGAGAGCTGTGGAGAGATGAAAGAATAGATGACCCAACTACACGTTTTAAATGAGAAACCTACTTCAATGTTTTGGATACAATTATAACCCAAATAAATGAACGATTTTACGACTTTAGTAACACAGTTACACATTTCCACTGCCTTGACCCATCAAAGCTGTCTGAGGAAAATATTAATTCATTTAAAAACTTATGTCAAGTTTATTGTAACGACGTAAACACTGAAGAAGCAATTGTAGAGTATGAAATATTCAAAGATGTGTATGCATCAATATCCCCATTGACAACTGACCTACAAATAAAAGATGTACTTCAATTCTTGATTGAGAAACAGATGGCACCCGGCCTCCCTAACTTGTCTATTCTTTACAAAATCTACTTGACTCTTCCTGTTACATCTGCTAATGCTGAAAGAAGTTTCAGTAAACTAAAGATTATAAAAAATTATCTCAGATCAACAATGACAAACGACCGTCTTTCTGGGTTAGTATTAATTTCTATTGAACGAGAGCTTGCTGAAACCATTGACTTTAACTTCTTAATTAATCGTTTTGCTTTAATGAAATCTCGCAAAAAAAAATTTGTGTAAATTATCTGAGAAGTGAACTTTTTTTCTAGATGCTAACTTTTCCAATATGTCAAGTTAAATATATTTTTAAATGAATGAACTATTTCAGCAACATTGAATGTTTCTAATTTTTTAAAAGATAATTGTTAACTAAAATTAATGCAGGAAACTCAGAAAAAATTAGGTTACTCAGTGTCTTATATGTATGTAATATGTACAATAAAAGCCACGTAAAATCACTTATAAAGTGATTTAGTCATAAGTGCGATCTTCAGGAAAAAAATTTCTGGGGTTTAAAATACCAAACTCAACTGGTCGCCCCTATTCATTGACATAGCCCCCCCGCGACACAAAACCTGAATCCGCCACTGGTTCAAAGGTACAGTGAGTTCGTTAAGTTCATTTAAGTTTTTAACAAAAAAAGAAATTTTTAGAACCTTTGAAACATTTTTTGTTAATAATGTTTTCGATAACTTCTCTTAAATACGTTTTTATTTTGTTTCTACTATTGTTTGTTGCTTGACAAATTTTATAAGCGGATTACGCATTTTGTTATGATATTTTATTGAAATTTTTTTTTTTGTATGACATATTACGATATTTTAATTAAATCTTGTTAAAGGGGTTCTATGGAAAGATTGCGTTCTCTCATCCTCAACTTCTTTGAGCCCCTATCAGTTTTACTTATTTTGTTAAATTTTATATTATGTAGTGGAATTTGTAAAATTCTTATGTTATGTAAACAGAGAAAAAAAAAAAAAAAAAAAAAGAAATATATATATATATATATATTTTCATATTGTAATATATATATATATATATATATATATATATATATATATATATATATATATATATATATATATATATATATATATATATATATATATATATATATATATATATATATATTCATATTGTAGTATATATATATATATATATATACAGGGCCGCCGAGAGAGGAGGGGGGGCAGAGGGGGCATACGTGCCCCGGGCGCCATGATTATAGGGGCGCCAAAAAATGATGATTTTTTTAAGTGTCTATACGGTGTTTAACTTTTAATTTAAATGTTTTATGATTTTATTTGATGTTTTTATAGTGTAATTTCATGAAATAAATAAAAAGATTACTTTTTTATAACTTCGATTTTCATGTTTACGGTTATTATGTTTAGTGCAGTGAGTTTGCTTTCAGAGAGAACTTTTTTTTTGTATAGATGCATATTATGAAAATGACGACGTCTTACATTTCGGCATTAAATCTCACAAAAGTATTAACGTGCATATTTCAATGTCAATCTAAGCAATTCCATCTCAAATGTCAAATCTACTTATTTAAAGGTAAAATAAGAAAAGTAAATAAGTAAAACCTAAAGTATAATTATTTTGTTAAATCCATATATGAAAAAATTTGTTAGCAAATATGCTTCGCGCAGTTTTAACCTTTACCGCCTAAAAAACATTTATGCTGCTAACTAATTTTCAAAAAATCTAAAAAGCGTATGTATTGTTAATGTAAATTCGAAGTATTGGTTATTTAAAAACAAAGAATTATTTATTTATATTAATATCATTCTATTTTTATAAAAAAGAATGATGGAACAGACAGAGTGGGGTTGATCGGCAATAACAATTGTCGCTGACAGCTTAACGAATTGAGGAGGTCGGATTTCTGACTGGCCCTTCGCTGGCTGATTCAGTGACCCTTCTTCGTTGCCCTCCATCTCACAAGTCTAGTTTCATGATATTCTTGAAATTTAACGGTGATCCTGCATCGTTGAGGTATCAGCAAAGAAGCCTGGTTGCCAATAAGTTAACGATTTGAGAAGGTCGGTTCTCCGACTGACCCTTCGTTGGCTGATGTGGCGACCCTCTCTCGATGTTTTTATCTTAACTTTCAAGATCCAGCCAAAACAATGAGCAGCCCAAACACGTAAATATTCAACACCAGCTACACTTCTAAATAAACTAAAAGATTTTTTTAAAAAAAATTTTAAAAGTGTTTATATCGTTAATTTAAATTCCAAGTATTGGTTGTTTAAAATCAAAGAATTATTTATTTTAATTAATAATATTCTATTTTTATAAAAAAGACTGATGAAAAAGACTGATGGAATAGACAGAGTAAGGCTGATCAGCGATGACACTTAGCACTGATAGGTTAACGATTTGAGGAGGATTGAGTTTTGATAATAAAATTTAAAAAAAGTGACTTCCGCGTCTTTAAACGATATATTAATTTGATTTTGGCGCCTATGTTTGGTTTATTTATTAGATTTTTGTATTATTTATTAGAATTTTAGACTTAAAAATACTTTTTCTTTACCTTTTACAATAACTACTACGCTGAGGATAGCCCATATAAATTCCTAATAGTCTAACCCGAGTGACTTAACCTAAGAAAAATGATTGCTCGCGTAACCTTTCTTTCATTACTTACCTTCCTTTAAAGAACCATCACGATTTAACATCAAAAAGGACATTGAGGAGAAGGGTTCGAAGACAACAAAATATTCAAGAGAGAATTGCAGCTAAGCGGAACTTAGAGGCATCTATAGATAGTGAGGGAACATTAGAAAAGGAGCAGAAAGTGGTCGAAGAACCACCAGTAAAAATAAATAAAGAAGATACAGAAGAAGTGGAAAATACATTAAGGTTCTTGGCCGATAATTTAGACGTTTTCACGAACAATATAATTGTAAAGTAAGGTACATTTAAATGATAAATATATACTTAAAAACATTAGTAATATAATTCCGAATCACCACCTATTGTAATACCAATGATTTCTTACCCCTATAACCCTTATCCCAACCGGAACACGTGACTTTATCCAGAATCTACGTGTAACCCAAACCCTAATTATCAATAATTATCACAACAATTATCATAAATATATTAAACATCTAAATCCCCCTTAGAACAACTGCTCTAAATATACCCACTAAGACATTGAATTACAGAGACAGCCAATTTCAATACTTGTCTCTAAAATAAAACCGATGACAATAACAAAAAATAATTCCCGCGGAAAATGATAGAAAAACTCACCTTGAGAATTACCTAACTCTTTTTCGCGGAGACTAAAGAAGCTCTGACACGTAAATAGAACAATAGACCATTGAAAACTTACAACGATAGAACAATGGAATTTCTAAAAACAGAAGTTTTACATTTTTATGTGCACACGTTTCGTTCGTATCAGATATCTGCTAACAAGCGAAGAAAAAGCAACTGTGGCGTTCAGAAATATATTTTTTCACGTTTATTTAATAAAAAAATCCACATTAACGGCAACACGAACAATGGCATCGAATAATTACATAAATATATACCCTACTACAACACCCAGCAACACGGTAAGAAAAACATTTCCTTTATCACATTTACATACTTAATAAGTCATACCATCACCACCCCACTATAATTTAGCGTTTACTTGAACATCACACGCCACTACAATTCACCATTGAAAGCACCCCATACTATTCTTACACATTATACATACTTAGAATTTTTATAGAGTCCAAACACACCGGAAGACATATTCCTTACACAAGACGTGTTCCGAAATCAAGAAGTTCTCGTGACCGTAGATAAATTAGAATTAGAAATATTAAGGCACAGTACCACCCTGGAACCCGAAGACAAAAAAGAAGGAGACACAACACAAAAAGACGAAGAACTAAGTGACAGCCAAATGCTAGAAACGGTAGGTTTAGTTCAAACCTTTACACCAAAAACATCTTAAAAACTATTAATTATCCCCCTCATACCCAACCCCCTAGGGTCCGACTCCGTTATCTGAAAATTGTTGTGTTTATATATGTATGTACTTCATTTATGTATATCATTTGTGCGTGTTTGCATGCATATATGCATGCATCTGTATATGCGGACATGTGGGGATGTATGTGTTTGCATGCATATATGCACACCCTAGCCTGTTACCCTCTTAGTATGTATAGACCTCTGTTTTATACATGGTAGTGTTCATACAGATATATTTGTATGTGCATATACATGTGCACATACATTTATATTTGGATTCATACTCTTGCACCCAACCCCCTCTATTTCACTCTATTTCACTCCGTTACCTGATTTATCTGTTTTATGCATAGTTGTACTCACACAAGTATATGTGTACTTGCGTGTGCATGTGTTTGCGTGTTTATATGCGCATATGCGTGTGCATGTATGTGGACATGTGTTTATGCATTAGGTGTGTATACATGTATATGTAGAATTAGGGATGTACCGAAGCTGAAATTTTGCCGAAGCCGAAGCTTCGGCCGAAGCCACTTTGCCGAAGCCGAAGCTTCGGCACTATATATACTTAAAATTTAATCAGCATTCAGATCAGCAGGGGTGTAAAACAAAAAAGGTACCAAAACTAAGGTCCTTGACTAATAATATAGAAAAATCGTATAAAAATGAGGACGCCAGTCAGGGTTGCTGTTCCAGGCAGGGCAAAAGCTCTCAGCGCCCCTGTTTAAAAGTTTCTCATTATGTCGTTTCTGATACTTGACCGCACCGAGCGTTTTTTTTTTAAACTTAAACTTTTTTGAAACATTCTCCCCAAATTTTCCTACTTCTAGTTCTACTTTTTCTGTGTGCAAACCATATTAATGTTATATAGCATCATTTCATGTGCTGTATATTTTATTTTTATTTTTAATGCACCTTTTGTTAATAGAAGTGGATAAAAATCTCTGAACATTACTAGAGTAATTTTATCTTTTGCACTTGATCACTCTTTCTTTAAATAAACACTCTTAGCTGATCTAGTTATATCTACAACATAAAAAATCTTAGAAACACACTTTATCTTTTTATTGCTATTTATTTCAATATCTTTTTTTTTACTTCTCTGTGTTCTTTAAACGAACAATTTCTAAACTAAAAAAAACCCATTTTGGATTCCACTACAACTGTTGTGAACCTGCTGCTAAAAAAAAGTACAAATGATAGATTTCTCTCTAACTTCTTTTTTACACACTTTTAAGTGTTGTTTTTTTTGATTATTTTTAACTTGCATAATATTTTCTATAGCTTCTTTTAATCTTTTACACTTTGAAATCTTAGTATTCATTCTTCTTCTGTCTTTGTAATGGATAAATCTGCATCAGTATCTGAAATCAAATATTTACTATCTGT